AAAAAAAAAAAGTCAACCAATGTTTGTATATTAGTTTTGTCTTGTTTACAATAGCATTCCTGTTGTGAGTAAGTGGGGTATTTGGGGGTTTTGCAGGTAATTAAAGTTCACCAAAGTACTGTATCCTCCTACCTGGAAGACATAATACTGAACACTGAAGAGAACGCTGCAGAAGAACAAGCCAGGGCAGAAATTGAGAAGACGGCTGAGGAAATCAATGACATTGCTTATGAAATGGAAAGCCGGTGTGTATCAAGAGAGTAGACTGTAGAATGGGCAGCCCATTTACTGGTACTCGTATATATTTTCTCAAGAGCTCAAGATTTCACTACCAAGGAGAAACAAATATATAACTCATGCTTTAGTGTCCACTGTTTCATTAGTATAACTCTGTAGAAGTCAACCCACCTATACCTTTGTATGGTAGGAACATTGGAAATTGTATTCTCTGTTATGCTCTGCAGTCTGGATTACTTGCGTATTACTTTACGAATACTCGGAAGCATGAAAGTAATGTGAATCTGTGTGTGTGCCATTACCTGGATTTCATCCAGGGTTTCTGGTGTCCATGTATAAGCTGTATCTCTAACATTCTCTCCCTGGCAGGCAGGTTAAATGAAGGATAGGATCAAATCTAAATTTTCCATGGCATTTAACAAGCTTGCCAGGAACGTGATGTTTCAGATCACTTAATCAAGGAAAAACGGTGATGGTGGGGTTTGAGCAGTGGAGTTGCTTACACGGAAAGAAAGATCTAAGCATAAATCAGCAATTCGAGTAAAGAACTAAAGGAAATAGTTTATTTTTTATTTTTTAGTCGAACTCATCTTCAGTCAGAGGAGATTGTTGCCGAGTTGGTTTATAGTTTTCTCATCCCCGAGGTGCAAAAAGACTTTGTCAAAGAAAAAGGTAAGCCAATATAAATGCTTTACTTCAGTATTTTATAAAAGATCTGAAGATCTCAGTATTCCAGAGATTTCAAACTAAACAAAGGTATGGGGAAATTTCTGAAGGGGAATCACTGAGTTTTCTTATTCCAGAGCTTGTCAAGTTCTGTCATGCCATCTGATTCCAGAATATAACCACCTCTAGTACAGGTGGGATGCAATTCTAATAAGCTTGATTTCCTTCTTTAAAAGGAAGCTCCCAAGTTTTCAGAAGAGGTGTATACATAAAGCAAATGTTGAGCATATAAAGGATTTTCACACTGTAGCAGCCTTTTTGAGGCAGGGCATGTGAACCATGGGTGCTGGAAAGTAGGAGTGCTGGGAGGGTCTAAATCTACCCTGCTGCTCTGCCCACACCCCAAATAGCTTATTTCTGCTCGAGCTGCATCCAAGTATGAATACCCTAATTCGTCATTTGTCACAAGTAGCATGTTTTTAAAGATTGATGCTTTTAGTTTATAGAGAAGAAGAGAAAAATGTCCAAAAAAGAAAAAGAAGAAGACCGTTTTGCAGCTCTGAGACTATTGGTGGCAGATCTGATCTTAGAGGGAGGGGTGCAGACCAATATTTAAATGAAAGAGCAGCTCAGAAGCTTTGAGAATTATGTAAGGGAATTCTAGGCAGGTTTAAGCAGGAAAGTGTGCAATATTGCAGACCACTTACTCAAGGATAAAGAGATGGTGGAGTTCTAACACACTTGGAGAGAGTAAAGAAATACCTAATCATCCATTACATGGTTATATTGATTGTTAAACCAGTACCTCTAATGATAAGCAGTTTGTTTCCAGCGTATTTTCCTATTACAAGCAGTATTGCAGTCAATATAGTTTACACATATCCTGGCCATGCTTATGAGAGTAAATTCCCAGCAGTACGATTGGGAATATAGGGTATGCACATTTTACATTTTGATAGATACTGCGAAATTGCCCCATAAAACAATGGTTGACTTGTATCAACAGTGTATGACAGTGCCTATCCCAACAAAATTTAATTTTCAGGTCAGTTAATACATATTTCTGTGTCATGTTATATTATAAAAGGGACCTTATGTTTTCTAGATCCTTCAGAAAATATGCAACTCCTTTTCACTTCTCCTAGG